TGCAATTGACTTTCTAATAATCATAAAAGGATTATTTGTATATATTTAACCATTTTACAGTTTATATGCATTATTTTGATGTACTCAATCATTATATTAAATCTAAAAATATCTTAGGAACACTAAGAGACATAAACTTGAGAATTTATCATGATGACATATCCACTTAAATATTAATATCATTTCAGCTCTATATCTATATCTTAATGGCAAATACTACATGTTTTGATCAACTTGATGATTGCTATGGATCAAAGAACCTATAGAAAATACTTACGGGTTGTTTGGTTGGACTCCAAATGATTGTAAGGTATTTCAAATTCAGCGGTTTTAATAATTTTGGTATTTGGTTGAATGAAAAAGAAATGCAAAATAAAATAAATATAGTATAAATCATTCTAGTTCTTTTTTCAGGTGAATCAAACTTGCCCAACTTTGAGGGCGAACGGTTTACACTGCGAGCTAACTTGTTTAACCCCTGCCAACCACTGTCGGCCACCACCTATGGTCACCTCCACCCCTCCGGCCACCACCGTTGCCACTAGTCACGGCCTCCCACCACCACCATCCATTGCCATCATATTTGTGTAAATCTTCTTTTTTTATTATCATTTTATCAATGAACAAATTCAAAATAATGCCATTTGCACATTTGAGAATCAAATCTACAGATTCACTCAAGATATTACTTTTAGAGCACAAGATTTTCCATTTTGTGCATCAAGATTGAATTCCCTATACATATATAACTCCATCCAAAGGAAGCAGCCAACAGAATAAATACAGTTAATAAATTTTCTTTTTTTATCTAATCATTTTAAATAAATTATTTTGCAAACAGTTAATTAATTTAGCTCAATATATGATGGGATTATTATAACCAACCTAAAATGAATTCTTTTTTAATCAACAAGAAAACCAATGAACCATTATTCAAATCTCTCGTAGTCAGTTAATTATAAATGTCATCCTGAACAAAACATGTAATTTTAACATCCAATATTGCCCGCAGGGAAAGAATAAATATCAAAGATTTTTACTAACTGGAGAATCTTCCAGAAGTAAAATTACCGGTTTTTTTTAAGTCAAATGTCAAAACGCAAACATTGGCATACACCATTGCTTTGAGGTCCCTGAAGTGCGGACACCAGACAGGAGAACCATATAGTCCGTGCTTGGTATCGAGCCTCGGTACTGTGCTTGGTACCGAGCCTCGGTACAGAGCGTGGTACATTTTTTAGGTGACGTGGCACATTTTTATTGATCTATGGACAAAGTCTGGACTCCGCACAATAAAATTTCCTCCAACCAAGAGGCAGGGATGGACTACATTGATAAAAAAAACATTGTACAAGGCCTATGTTGTTGAGAACAACATCGTGTAAGGCCTACATTCTGACACATACTTCTTGAGAGACAACTTTCTGAGTTTCTCTATAGCTTTTGCCGCATAAAGATACAATGTTCCATCTGGTTTGTTAAATAGAAGCAAGAGCGTTGTGCTTGGTTGCAACCACTGGTGGTAACAGTAGAAAGATTTCAGGCACACCAATCCAAGCTAGCAAGCCAACCTCAACAATGGATTAAGCACTTTGAATCAGTAAAATTGTCACTGAGGCATTCTTTCACACGGCTACTGCAAGCCTCTGCCGAATCTCCTGGGAGCTTGACATTTTATTCACACTGAATATAAACATAATGAGTCAGAACAGCCATAGATGTCACTTCTGAATTTCAACTTACAAAAGCATAGCGAACTTATTTATTGTTGTAAAAAATGCACTTAAATTGCATATTTTGGAAACTTATTTCAGGCTTCTTTTGGTTGTTTGCTTGCATATGAATCTTAATTTATAAACAAGTCTAACAAAATAATGGATCTAACAAATCCCACTTTGTTTCAAATCATATTTTCTAACTTAAACAAATCGTGTGAGCGCTCGATGAAGTTAATAACCAATCCTAGTTATATTGATCTAAGTTTTAAAAATCATTACATTATAGCAGAAAAAAGAAAGATCTAACAAACTCACCGGTAGAGGATGTCCCCTGTAGCTGCCGCCTTTCGAAATATCCAATCTGGCGCCAATTCTTCCATTAACTCCAACTGTTCTTCAACTTCATCTGGAACACCAAAAAAAAAATTACTATATATCCTTAAAGGTTTAAGGGGTCATGTTTCAAAGAACAAAAAGACATTCTAACTTAATTCTTACTTCTATCAATTACACTGCAGTTACACGAAAGAATCTTGTGAATAAGCTCTTGCTTTGTAATTACAGATCTATTCCCAGATTGAAATATCAGGAGTATTGAATCAAAAAGTTTAGGCAAACTTGCAATCATCTTTTTCCGTAGCCTTGCCCCAGCTACATTGGCATCCCTTTCCTCCATCGCTTTCTTTTCCTTGTCCCTTATCTATAGACAGAAAATGTTATCTCGGGTCAATGAACCAATACTGCATACGAACTTTGTTGCTACTGAGATAGTTCCTAAATTTATTAAAACGATTAAATCAACTTACATCTTGTAGAAGTGACTCTGGAAGAAAACCAAGCACATCATCT